GTATGTCACTGCACATTTGTTTTGTGTAAACTGGCTACTCCTATTAACTCCAACTATAAGGCAACCCATTTAGGGTGGGAAGAAAAGACACACATCTCCTATGTGTTTCCAGAATTCTAATTTTAAAAAATCTGATGCCACTTCCCAGTTTAACCTAGGACCCCCATTTATGTGTGTACACTCACTTAATTATTAATAATAAAAATACTTTACTATTACTATAAATTTGGCTAGTTTGTAACTCTATAAAAATTCACAGTAATGGAAGAAATGAGGGAAAGCAAAAAAATCTAAAATACAAAATCTACTTCAAAAGTATATAAGAAAGCTCAGTAAATGAGTTGTAAAAGAAAATAATATGAGGCCCACTGTAAGGTTTAGAGGGTAGTTTCATAAAAGACAAGCAACCTGAAAATATACTCAGGGTATATTTTGCCATAGTGTGTGGTAGGAGAAATTAACCCGGATAAAATCTATAACACCCTCATTATGTGACACTGGATGCCAAAAAAAATAAAAATAGAAAGCAGGTTAAATGTTTAGCATTACCAGTTAAGCTGCTAAATTAGATCTGTGGAAGTGGGAAAGCCAAATGCCTCAAGGCTAATGACAGTGACAGAAGTGAAGGATCAGAGGTCATCCTAATGATATTTTTAATGTAAAATTAACGTAGCTGCAGTTAATTTGTGAGCAGGGTATGTTCTTTTTAGTGGTGGGAAGTAAAAAGTTTTTGCATTATTCAATAATACACGAGAGTATTTTTTGCTGTACTAGATTCTCATGTCATTGTCAACCTTTCACTTGGCCTTCGGATATCAGGAACTCTTTGCTTCACCTTTTTGAGAATTTGATGCCGTGTAAAATGGACTGACTAGGGGAATGGCCTTGTTTTAATTCACAGACTGAGGTGAAGTCACCTCAACTGAAAATACACAGATGCTTAATCTGTAATCATTAGCCTGAACAGCCTCTCCAGAGAGGAATTCAAAATGTGGTCACAACAGGTTCAGATTTGGGCCCCATTAATTTTGTAGAAGTTGGGATGAGCTGATTCTGTAAATGTTCACTAAAATTGTCTCTGGCACGATCTGCTTACCAGAACTTTCATACTCTAAAAACTATTTCCCCTCACAAATGTACCACAGAACTTTCCTCTCATTACTAAAACTGCCAAGTTCTTCATGGATTAACGTCTTTGACATTCTGTTCCTTTATCCTGGAATGAAACATCAGGATGCTTTATTATGTATTATAAAGACATTCTCTACTTTATTATGCATTATACACCAGCTAATGCATACTTGTGTTTCAGTTTTCAAACCAAAAGACCCACTTCCAATCAGTAGTTTGCAAATTTCAAAGAAACCATCTGTTGATCCATCTTACGTGCTGTCAAAACTCTTGGTTTGGAATGTGAATAACTGGAGGATTGGACTGGATTCTAGTTCTTTAAATTACTCATTGTGTAACCTTGAACAAGTCACTAGTATATTTGAGCCTCAATTTCCACTTTTACAAAATTAGAATAAGAATACTAAACTCACAAGGTTTTACAAGGGTGAAATTGATGACATTTGTAAAGTATGCAGGGCAGTCTCTACAGATGCCATGTACTCCCTATGCTTTATGTTATGATGCTAATAAATATTTTTTGCACTTGTTATATGCCAAATATTCTTCTAGGTAAGTGTTGTGTGTAATAACTCTATTGTAGGTGTTGCATCCCCTTTGTAAAAAATATACACTGAAGCACAGAGAAACTTAAAAACTTGCCCAAGCTCAGATGTCAGAAAATAGACTCCCAAAGCCCACACTCACATGGCTACCTGTTCCTCCTACCGCTTCTAACATATTAGTCCTCCTCCTATTACTATGCCAACTCACACCTTCTTTTCGTGCTTATCACGTTGCTTTATATTTTATTAATTTATGTGTATTTCCCTACAACTAGTTTAAGAGCTCCTTGAGGGTGATTTATTTACCTTTTCTGGCTATCTCGCATGCCTGGCCCATACTAAAAACTCATTAAATATTTACTGAAGAATGAATTAACAAAGCCCATTAAACATGGAAAAATTTTAAGAATTATAGATGACCAACAAGATCCTTCCTTACAACTCTGTATGGATCTCCATCACTCTACAATCATGCTTTATATTGTGGATGTATACATTTCAAGAATTACTGAAACTGAAAAATCTTGTGTATTCATGTATTCATATACATATCCAAAGGTATATATGTATGTGTGTTTTGAGATAGAAACAGAGAGGAGATCTGCTTGTTCAGCCTTTTGATTGTGGGTTCTAAGTAGGAAATGCCAACAACTAGTATTCACTGTTAAAGTATATTGATGGTTTTCTTTCCTTAAGCTCTGTCAGTTTATTTGGTTTTAGCATGCCTGAATGTTATGTCAGAGGAAACAAGCCTTCTGAATACTTACTTACATGGGATTTTTGGTGACATTTTAAAGCATTAATGACAGAAAAGCAGAGGATTCTTTCAGTTTTTAATTTTCTGCCAACTAACCACATGTTTACAAACATTAACGCTATTTTTCATAAAAGAGCCATATGGTTGATTACAGTAGATTAAGAGGTAAAATTAGAGGCTGATTTTAAAGCTATTTCTCCAGTTTTTAAATGCTGTGAGAAGAGTTGAATTAGTACAATAAACTAATGGGAATTTTCCTAGTTCCTGTTGGGTATTTTATAGCATATCCCAAACCTAAAAGAAAGGAAAATATTTTAAAAAGTTAGTTGTGATGGTGAAAAATAATTAGTTTTGGTCTAAATATATCTTTTTCTCAATGAATTGGACCATGCCTCATCAAATCAAAATTTCATTTATCTAATTATAAATCTATAAAACATGCTTCCTATTTCTAATAATAAATATTTCTATGTAAAATGCCCATGTATGAAACACTGAATGCATGAAGATGAGTGAGAAAAACTAATTTTCTTGAGAAGAGCTTTTCCTCATTAAAAATGAGGACTAAGCCCTAGCCGGTTTGACTCAGCAGATAGAGCATGTGGAAGGCAACTAATCAATATGTCTCTCTCACATCGATGTTTCTCTCCTTTTGTCTCTCTCCCTCCCTTCCACTCTATCTAAAAAATCAATGGAGTTCCATTTTTAATTTTTTGAGGAAACTCCATAACGTTTTCCACAGAGGCTGTATCAGCCTGCATTCCCACCAGCAGTGCACGAGGGTTTCATTTTCATTTTTTTAACATATTTTTATTGGTTTCAGAGAGGCAGGGAGAGGGAGAGATAGAAACATCAATGATGAGAGAGAATCACCTCCTGCATGCCCCCCACTGGGGATCGAGCCTGCAACCCGGGCATGTGCCCTGACCGGGAATCGAACTGTGACCGCCTGGTTCAGAGGTCAACACTCAGCCACTGAGTCACGCCAGCCGGGCTGAGTGTCCCCTCTCATGGTGGTTCCCATGTGCCTGCCTTTCAGTGGAGGTTGACTTGGTCGCTGGAGGGCTGGTGCTGCTGCTGCCAGAGACATCCTTGCTAACACTTGTCGTCTGTCTGTTGACTTGTTGATGATAGCCATTCTGAAGGTATGAGGTGGTCCCTCATTGTTGTTTTGATTTGCATCTCTCAGATGATTAGTGACTGAGCATTTTTCACGTGCCTCTTGGCCTTCTGTATGTCCACTTTGGAGAAGTGTCTATTTAGGTCCTTTGCCCATTTTTTTGATTGTATTGTTTATCTTCCTTTTGTTAAGTTGTATGAGTTCCCTAAAAATTTTAGAGATTAAACCCTTATCAGATATAGCATTGGTAAATATGTTCTCCCATGCAGTGGGCTTTCTTGTTATTTTGTTAATGGTTTCTTTTGCTGTGCAGAAGCTTTTTATTTTGATGTAGTCCCATTTGTTTATTTCTTCTTAGTTTCCATTGTCCTGAAAGATGTATTGGTGAACATATTGTTAAGAGAATTGTCTGAGATTTTGCTGCCTATGGTTTCTTCTAATATGTTTATGGTTTCATGTCTTAAATTTAAGTATTTTATCCATTTTGAGTTTATTTTTGTGTATGGTGTAAGTTGGTGATCTAGTTTCTTTCTTTTCTTTTCTTTTTTTTCTTTTTTCTTTTTTCTTTTTCTTTTTGCATGCATCTGCCCAATTTTCAAATCCCATTTGACCCAGTGATCCCACTTCTAGGAATATATCCTAAGAAATCAGAAACACCAATCAGAAAGAATATATGCACTCCTATGTTCATAGCAGCACAATTTACAATAGCTAAGATTTGGAAACAGCCCAAATGCCCATCTGCCAATGAGTGTATAAAAACGTTGTGGTATATCTACACAATGGAATACTACGCAGCTGTAAAAAAAGAAAGAACTCTTACCATTTGCAACAGCATGGATGGACCTGGAGAGCATTATGCTAAGCAAAATAAGCCAGTCAGAGAAAAAGTATCATAATATGATCTCATATGTGGAATCTAATGAACAAAATAAACTGATGAACAAAAATAGATCCTGAGATATAGAAGCATTGAACAGACTGTCCAACCTCAGAGGGAAGGCAGGGGAGGGCGGGTGGTGGGAAGAGATCAACCAATGAACTTGTATGCATATATGCATAACCCATGGACACAGACAATAAAGTAGTGAAGTCCTGGTGTAGGGGTGGGCTGGAAGCCCTGGGCAGGAGGAACTGCCACCCTGGGCTGGAACCCACGTGGGGTAGATGGAGCTGATCTGAGGTTCGCAGCCTCACCTGCTTCCCATGTCAGATCCAGGCACCTGAGAGCAGACGCCGCCTTTCCCAGACAAGGATGGGGTGGAGGAGCCTTGAGATGTCAGAGCCAAGGGCTGGGGAAGGGCTGCAGGCCACAGGCGGCCATGTCCAGGGTTCCCGGCTGCTCTGCTCCAAGGAGGCTGCCGCTGCCACGAGCACCTGGGGCCCTGCACCAGCCACACAGCTCAGGTCGGAGGCAGCTGGTCTCCCAGACACAAGGGAGGGGATCCTAAGCCGCGGTCATCACTTCAAAGCAGTATTTGGTAGCAGGTCCTCTGCAGCCAGACACCGGGCAGGAGATCCTGGTTGCCTGGGGCACCCACAGAGCCAGCTCCACTGGCTCATGTCCCTGCTCTCGGTAGGAGAGGATGAAGAAGACCATGATCAGGCCCCCGGCCATGCCCCACAGCAGCTTCTGGTTGTCTCGCCCAGACCGCGCCATCGTGGAAAAGCGCTTCACGCTCCCCGTGAGCAGGCCTGTCATGCTCATGAAATCGGAGCCCATGCCGTCCAGGTACCGGTTCTGGTCCTCCGTATCCCTATCGATGTCCAGGGCCAGCGATTTGAGCCTGGTGACCTTGGAGGCCAGGCTATCAGCCATCCGCCTGTTCTCCTGGTCTAGAATCTCCTCCACGGCACCGGAGCTCTGAGCGCGAGCCCAGTCCACCATCGCACCGGCCCGCCCCACCTGGGTCCCAGCCCGCCGCTGCCTCCCCGACGTGGCCAGTGTGTGTACTTTTCATATCAGACTGTGGATCTCCAAAACATGGCCTTTCTCTCACACGATCAAAATTTATAATAGGAGAAACGTACCAGTGTCAGTAATAGAGTGTAATCAGCAGTAACCCCTGCAGAGATCTATGAGTAAACTGGGCATCTGGAGTTGTCCAAAGTGGAGATCTTGAGGGTGAAACCACTGGGATATAACTAATGAGGTTATTTGCTTGAAGAAGAGTAGGAGTCAGTTTTAGACAAGGTAGTGAAGAGAATACAAAGTGTTATCTACATATATAAAAGCCCAGTGACTGAAGGGTAGAACTACCAGAACGACCAGTCCACCAGTTGCTATGACATGCACTCACCACCAGGGGGCAGATGCTCGACACAGGAGCTGCCCCCTGGTGGTCGGTGCACTCCCACAGTGGGAGCACAGCTGGGCTGACCAGGATGAGCAGCACTCCCACAACAGGCCCATCACTGCAGGCCACGCCCCCCACAGTGCACAAATCCATGTACCGGGCCTCTAGTTTATAATAACCAAAAACTAAACACAACTTAAATATCTATCTAAAGTTAAGTGGCCTAACCATAAAGTGTATTTGTAAGTGTTATACAGTAATGAGAAAAAACAGCTCTTGCTTTACACATCATAGATGGATTTCACTAGCATACATTTTTTTAAAAATTGATTTTAGAGAGAGAGGAAGGGGGATAGAGAGAGAGAGACATAGAGAGAGAGACAGAGGCATTGATGTGAAAGGGAAACATCAACCAGTTGCCTCCCATATGTGCTCTGACTAGGGATCGAACCCATAACCTAGGTATGAACCCTGACCTGGAACTGAATCCCCAACCATTTGGTGTACAGGATGACATTCCAGCCAACTCAGCCACCCAGCCAGCGCTCACTAGCATACTTTTGAGCCAAAGTAGCCAAACACAAAAATTAAGGAAAATCAAGATAGTGCTATATTTGTGGAGAAAGGAAGTTAGTGATGAAAAGGAAAGCAGGAAGGGGACTTCTGATTTGCTGGTGGTGTTCTATTTTTTTATCTAGTTGGAAGTAACTGAGGTGTGTTCACTTTGTAAAAATTTATGAAACTATAACTGTCTAT